AAAATGAAGGTAGGACGGTTTAATTGGAATGTTGAAGGAGGAAGGGGAGGACAGACGACCGACTGTTCTTGCTCATGAAAGCTGTGTTGGGGAGTGGGTCGGCATAGGCCATAAACTAAACTATTTTGACCTTGGTGGCCCTATTGTGCAGGAAAATATTGTCGATTCTTGGTCATGACGCCTTGTTCACCGGTAGCAGGGACCACTAGACGAAGTTGGAACAACTGGTGTCCACGCAGACTGAAGATCGAGAGCCGCGTATGAGCTCAAAATCAGTTCCTGGACACATTTACTTATGCTTTCTGTTGACCAATTCTTGGTGCCGTGCTCTGGAAGGACCCTGTTCGGATGAGATGATATTATGGACGATGTTGCACTCGCTTGCACCCAACGCAGTCGGGTGAATGAAGTCGCTACGTCGGTCGGTTTATCCGGAAGGTTTGGGAAGGCCAACTTATTCTCGAGGCGAATCGCTGACCAAAAGGCACCTCTGGGGGTGGGGTAAATGGCCGTCAACTTGAAGTAGACAGCTTTAAATACCTCGAATCAAGGCTGCTACCGAATGGGCGGAATAAGGATGACGGTGAGCCTCCTAGCTCAAAAGGTAGAACGTTGGCTGCGCAAAAGCCTTCCCTGCTGTGTGGGTTCGGCTCCTACCGAGGCCGCGAATTTTTCACGATTGGGTCAATCGAAGAACGACATTGTCTGCCGAGTCGATGTTACTCGCTGGGTTAATATTAACATGTTCGGTGGATAATCCTGAACAGGCCAACACATTTGGATTTTTCCGTCAACAAGTCTGTTTACTTGCAAATAAACTTACGTTCACTGACTGTCACGCCCTGTCCCCTTCCCCTGCTGCCTACTTATCGTGTTTGACATGCATAAGTAGCCAGTTGGACACTATCGTCCTGTCATCGGAGCTCTTTGTAATTGCTTACTGTGTTCGGATACTGCGCGTCTTTTTGGTGGGCTACCGCGATGTACGCACACACACACACACACACACACACACACACACACACACACACACACACCACACACACACACACACACACACACACACACACACACACACACACACACACCCTGGAGGCATTGACATGAATGCGTAATTTGTTATTCACCGAAGTTCTCCTACTGCCCCGTCACATGCGTGCGTGGATGGGTGAGTGGGTGTCTTGGTCTACGGACGGCGTGAGAATGCGCAGCCTGAAGTCGCACAGATAAGTCTGGAACTGATGTAGTTTGTGGGGTGTCTATCGCCCCCTCGCCTGTGCATATTATCCACTAGTGATTATGCAAATAGCTCCTGCCGCCGTCATCGCCTACCCATTAGCTGAACCACAAACTATCTGAAGCGCCGCCACAGCGGGCAGGAGTG